TGAATTTATCAAATACTGATTTTCAAATAAAAATAGACAACAAGTAAATATTACTCTAGTTCTCAGTACAATTGTTAAGCACGGTTCTTGATTAATATGTCTAAACATACATTAATATCCTTTTGAAAATATGAAAGAAACATACTTATCTTACACTTGGTTTTGGAAATTACTGCTCAGTTATAGGAAAATAAGGTATTAAAAATCTATCTATTGCATACAGATGGAGATTAAATTATTTAAACAAATGAAAAACAGAAATGATGATTATACACAGCACAAAGAACATTCTACATTTTTCATGAATATTCATATAGTTCAGTTTCCAGATTCACAAGCTCACATTATAAATCACTTTTGAACAACAACATTGCCTTCTTTTTTCCTAACTGCACTACTTCCTATGTAAGCCTAACAGAATTTTCCAAATTTTACAATTACTATAAATATATTTATATTTCTACAACTAAAACTGAATTTGAAATGATATAATAAAATTCTTGTGATAAAAATTATTTCCCAATATGCAGAGTGAGATACAACACATAGCTTCAAGTAAAAAATGTGTAACTAATACATTAAGTCATTGAATATTTATTACCAGACTGTTTTTTTATTATACACTGTACCTTAATCATTCATCAAATATTTATTGAGCATCTAGTAGGTACAAGATTCCATGTTAACAAAGATTAACCAAAGACAAAAAAAAAAAAGTCTCTTCAAATAAGTTACAAAATGGTAAAGAGGTAAGATATAGACACATGTAACAATTAAACGCTATAAAAACTGGCAAATGTCTTTTAATCTAACATACCATTATACTTTAAAAGATGAAATATTGTTTTTAGGGTCTAGCTGAGAGACTTAGGAGCCAGAATTAATACAGTGGTAAAGAGTATCCCAGGGAAAAAATGTCAGTGGCAAGATGATCCAGTAATGTTTCTCCGAACAAGAAGTCCTAAGTTATCTCAGTGTTTGTAGAATTGTATATCATCAGTACAATGTTCAGATTCTGTTAGCAAAAATATTAATAGTGATTCCCTACAGATTACCAAGTTATGTGAGCCACTAGGTTGTATGCCATACTTTTCAAAACAAAGTAAATTTTTTACTGGTTTATATAACAATCACAGTATGATACAATAATACTGGGCTTGTAGATAGTAGATGCCATCAAAGAGTTAAGATTTTTTTCTTCAAATTTTAAGGTCAACAAAACTTCAGAAAATTCCAATGAATTCCTGATTAATTGTCACTCTATTAAATGGGACAAAGCAGATAGAGGCACCCTCTGAATATCCTGTCTCCATGCTTCAATGCATCCTGAACTAAAATAACTCAATGCTCATAATACATGTAATACACTCTAACCACTCACAAGGGGAAAAGATAAACTGCCAGACAGGTTTTCTTTGTTCAGGAAAGTTAGACATAGACAATCAGTTGCTGGAATTTATTAAAGGAGGAAGCAAGTGTTGGGGGTGGGTTATGACAGGATCTTCTGAATCTAAGTTTTAATAACTTCAAACTTTGCTGCCATAATTTAACCCTTATGTCATAACTGAGATTACTGAAGAAACTAGAAGACTCTTCCAGGAGGTTTAAATAAAGTCAAGGTCAAGTGTGTGTGAAGCATAGGTAAGTGTTGAACCCTCCCCTCAGTTTGATCAGCAACAGCTCTGATTGATCATTGTTCATGTTCTACCAGGTGATCAAAGTTTTGACTATCATCTTCAGTGTCAGTTTTAACCACTTATGTATTTTAGACCTATTTTTCTATTTATATCAATTTTCCCCACTTACAACTTTAATAGCAGCTATAAAAATAAAAACTTAGCTCACATTTTAATTTCTAATAGTTTAAATGCAGAGTTTTATAATATGTATTTGGATATACTGCACCCATACCCATTTATTTATTATACCTATGCAATATATATATATATATATATATATATATATATATATATATATAATCCATTCTGTTACATACATATTGACCATCTGCAATGTGTACTTCTCTGTAGAGTTATGCTCATTAGATTGAAGAAGTTCCTATCTTTGAGTCTTTCTTCCCAATGAGAGTAATTGAATGTAAAATAATTAGGTTCTTTAATTTTAATGAAGATGATGTCAGCAATGTAGTTAGGATTTCCAGTTAGTTTATCATGAATGCAAAACTCTTATGATCACTTTTGCTATGCTCTGAACTAATCAGATGAGACATGGTCTTTCCTTAAGGAATTTATATATTGTGATTAAATAGAAAAGAGTGTGCCTCTGGGAAAAATTGCTGTCCTACTAACCTATATTTGAGATTCATGTTCATTGATAAGCTTAAAAATGACTTGGTAGCCAACAGTAATCAGCATTTCCTCCAAATGTTCCAATAAGTCTGCTTACAGACACATCTGTTTGTGCTGCCTGGCCACGTGCTATTTGTACCTCTCCTTACAGGCCACAGCTATGCACTAGCCTATGATGTTAGCACTCCTTGGCCCTGCCCCAACAACCCCTTTTCTCAGAATGATGGTTCCTGTTAATACTACAAAAATGGAAATTGTCAGCGTGGGCAGGTTGCCATATGGAGGTTGACAGCTGCTCAATCAGATTAAGACAAATGCACACAGGCAACATGAGAGTAAAAAAAAAAAATCATTTTAGAAGAAAACTCAGTTGTTTTGCTGTTGTTATTTTTCCCAGGATTTTTAGAAATAGTGCATCAGTTTTAAAGATTACGCTATAAGAGATAAGCTATAATTAGTATTGATATGAAGCAATTTTTAAAAAAGTTTAAATAACCTACTTCAAATTTTTCTGTTTTTAGCCTCCATCATCTTTTCCTATGGCCACAGCATTTAAGATTTATTTCTTCCCCACCCATACATGCCCCACCTCTGCCAAGTATCTTACAAAATAATAAAGACCTCCACTTTCTGAAAAAGAAAGTAATGTTGAAAAAAAACTGTCAAAATATGCTTTCAAAGCTTGCATAATATGCCAACAGAAAAGTAACAGAATTTTACAACCCACTGAAAGATAACACACCACCATCAATAGCCAAACTCATGAATAAATAAATATTTACAACATGTACATATGCATATCAAGGCAGGGCTACATTGCAGGAAGTCAGAATCTGTGGCACATATTTATGCAATGCATATACAGAGATAAACAGAGACACTAAAGAGAAAATAATTTTAAAGTACAGTCAACACATTTAAAGTTTTCCAGTAACTTGTCTGACCTTTCCAAAATACACAAGACACTTTCAACAATAAAGGAAATATGTTGCTGTGATTGCCTATCCCTGAACTTGACTGAGTCATATCATCATTATACAGCAGAGCTAGCAAATTTCTAGCTGAGCTAGTTAGAGTACATTGGAAAAACTAGTGCTACGCTCAAAGATGAAGCATTTTAGACCTGATTTACAAATGAAATCCAGTGCATCTGTATCTAAAGCTGTGTGGAATGAATCAACGCCTAGGAAGACAGAGAAGCATTTTGGAACAAACCTTTCTCACTAGGTTAACAACTTTCCTAAAATTTTACAGCTGTTTAACTTTCTCACTGGGCAGCTGCAGCTCCAAATCTATTGCTGAAGTTTAATGCAGGAAATTAAACTTTGGCATGATATAAGTACTAACTGTTTTTGAAAAATGCATATAAGAAATACAGGTTAACACTCCTGACATCCCCTGGAGTCGATATCACCATACATCTCTAGATCCCAAGCCACCAAAAAGCTGCCATGCAGGCTAACATAAATAACAGCTTGCAGTGTGCAAGGTGAAAAAAATCCATTGATAACACCAGGCAATACAGAAATGTGGTGATATAATTTACAAGGCCCCAGATAATTTGTCTCAACCACTCCTTTGGGTAGATATATACCGACCATCTAAGCTAAGTGCTGTTGGAACTTTTCCCTGCAAGGTATAGTAGGTAAAAGATTTGAAATGTCTTTAATGCAACAAAAGGAGAAACCGAAAGATCAAACTGAAGGGGCTTGAGTATTTAGAAAATCCTGCTGAGATGCTGTGATAAATTATTAAAACTTCTTGTTAATGTTCATGCTTCTCTTTAACCTCAGATCATAACACTGACAGTAAAGCAAAGATGGGGGTAGACCCAGAAGTGTTTTCTAAAGCTAAGATAAAAAAAAAAAATGAGATAAAAAGAATGCTTGCATAAAGCAAAATCCTCAGCTTTCTTCCATCAAGATTTTTCCTAAAACATAAAAACACTGTAGAGAAAGTCTCTCTTGGGATATTTCTGCAGCATCATTTTGGGTTACTGCATTCACAGAACACATACCTTCATAACTTGTGTCTGGTAGGAACAAATGGCATTCAGGGAAAGCAAAACCAACAAAACTTTACAAAAAGGTATCTTTGAAGTCTCAAAAATTCTCTCCCATCTCATTATAATTTTTCAACAGCAGAAGAAAATGGATTACAATGCTCTCAAGTGCTGAAAGGCTTTTTTCTCATCCAGCAGATACTTTTTCCCAATGAAGTTAATGTAATTTATCTTCACTAACACAGTAACACTGATAGAGTCAGCCAAAAAATTAGTGTTGGTAGAACTGTATTTCCTAACATGCCACTGATCATTTCACAAAATCTGCAAACAATTGAGCGATCTCACATATTCAAAACCCACATCTTTCAGAAAATGCAGCTTCCTAAGGATAACGTACATATCCTTGTACTAGAACAGCATACATTTGGCCCTGGAGTAATAATCATTGTAATGCTTTGAAAGCCCAGCAAACCAAAAACTACATACATATATTTATATCAGTAAGAGAGGAAAAAAAAAAAAAAAAACTCTTCTTCCTAGCCACCTACAACACAGATCCTCTTTCCAGAAATAAAATCCTGATTTCAAACAGAATCAGCTTCTATACCATTAGCTGTCCTCCAGATACCAATATCCGGCTTTGCTGACTCCTTACAGATCCTTACCACAAAACTTTCATCACTTACCCCCCTTCCAAGGTTTTCCTTTCCAGGGGGTCCGGGTCAGCTTGCTCAGAGTTGGTCCAGAAAAGAGGAGCATCAAAACGAAGAGAAGTTCCAGCCTAGTAATTTTCCCCACTTTCTCTGATGATAACATTTCCACAAGTGAATTTCACAAAATTTCTCACATCCTCTTCCCTCCCGGTTATGAAAATAGCATTAATCATTGAAAAACCTGAGGTAGGTGTTGTTTTGCCATCTTTAACAGCTGAAGGAGCAGCTCCCTGATGTAGCCCTGAGCCAAGCTACATTTCTCACGGCTCCGGCTCCTGCTCCTCAGCACGCAGTCAGCACTGCTTCTACTCCAGGAGCTAGAAAATAATTTCTCTTCTCCACTTTGCTTTCAGTGAGAATACATTCCTCAGCGTTCTGGGTGAGCTTGATTGAAAATGATAAAAACAGTAATGTCTGTGTCCAGCAGAAAAGAGAAAAGATGTCAGGATGGTGTGAAAAAGATGAGAAGCAGTTGTACTGACAGCTTTCAGGCTGCCTGTGTGATCCTTAATAGCCGTGCAACCAACCAAATTGCTCTTTTAAGAGTAATAAGGCTTCAGTGAAAGCCGGTATCACAGCCACTTGGGTGGGTAGTGCTGGGCTTGAAAATCACCCAGGCACTGCCACAGATAACGACTGCTTCATTCCAGCTTTAGAATAGGAAGGGATGAGCAAAATACAGTATGCACAGAGGGTAGTTAATCTATTGTGTGGATAGACGGGGATTCCAGCGATGTACTCTGGACAGACTCAGAACTTGAAATGATTTTATTTTCCCCTAATTCACCTCATGACATTCAAATGGGATTGCATCTGCACTAATTATTCATAAATGGGTCTGAAATATTTATTAGATGAACAACAATAAGTATATAATTTTTCTCCCCAACAATGAAACTAGGAGGACAGACTCTCAATACTTAAGGAGTCTCTTCTGTATTAAAGTCAGTTTATTTGGACACACTTATGTTTCCCTAATGAAGCCACTGTGAATGTTATCAGCAAACTTTTAGACATACCAAACAGTCTCTAACAAGGCTGAGTTGATCCCACTTTCAGGGAAGCACATTTTTTATTTGTTTTTGTACATCACCATGGAAATGCAAAAAGCTCTCTCAGTCTTTTTAAACTATATTTATAAAAACAGCAGTGGTCACAAAGTGTGGTGAAAAGGAACAAACACACAACCCTGCCTCTTCATCAACAGGACATGGGTAAAATCTGTCAAATAAAAGTAAATTGATCTCTATTACCTTTAGTAAATTGGCATGGTCAAAAGACTCAGCCCAATATTTTATTGGGCTGAAAGCTGTCTGCATCTTATTATTTTCCATGTGGTCACTTATTCCCTTAATCAGTTAGCTACAATGCATGAATTATGCATTTATGTATGATAAACTAATTGATTCCAATATTATTATAATCACCAATTTTAGCATGTTACCACTTTAAAAATGAGATAAATTGCTCTTTTGAAATCACAGTCTTGGAAAAGTTACTGTTAAAAATATTAAGTTATACCAATGTTTTAAGCTATGTATTAAATTTGAATACACAGTTATTACAATTCGCTTTTCCATAAAAGAAGCAATGTTTGTCAAGATATCAATGGGACACAGAAACAGATTATAACACTGTGTCTTAGTTTAGAAACAATAATGTGGCTTTATTCAACTTTTAATTTTAAGACTTCTCAGGGAGTTTAGAAAAGCTTATACCATGTCCTTTTTACAAATAGTGAATTAAAATTGTTATGTCTTTGTATATTTTAAAATAGGTGTTGGTATTTGAGATTTTCTCTTTGCCAGTCACTCCTCTTGTTTATCTGACTCCTTCCCTTTAAGTGCATGTAAACAGAACTTGGTAGGATGAATTGGCAAATTCCCTTATCCCCATCCTCTGAGGAAAACTCTGGAACCAAGCTTATTTACTGTCTATTGGCTACATCTCTTAGAGAGAAACAACATGCTTCTTCATAATTTGTGAGTATTTATTTTTTAATGACTTCTTCCTCCTTAGGTTGAATAGGCTTAAATATAATTAAAAAGTGTTGGAAGAGATGATAAATAATTCTGAAGGGCCTAGCAGAGCAAACTTAAAAGGAAAAGTATTCTTTACTGGATTTGGGATACAGTTGGTCAGATTGACTACAAAGAAGTTCCATGTTTAGATTTTCAAGGTTTGCTTCCTTTTCAGTGGACCATGTAAGTACCATGCCATAGATCTCTCTGGTGGGTGAACTGAAATGGAATTGAAAGAACAAAACCACTCTTGCTCATGGAGAGAAGGTCACTCTTTTCCAAAACTCACCGGGCTGAAACTTGAAGATCTAGTTCAAGCATTCTACATACCAGAAGGGAGGACAGAAATCTCTTGTGGAAATAAATATGGAGTTTGAAGGAAAAGGGAAATATTGATTGGAGGAAAAGTCCAAGTGAGATAGCTCTGCACAGGTATGAATGCAGAAACACTTTCCCCATCTAAATTAACATTAATTCTAAATTATCACTCTCATTACAAATTCTGAGCACCTTTTTTTGTATTGGGCTATTTAGTCTTTATAACCCACGGAAGTAGGAATAATTATTATTTCCTAGTACTTCGTAAATGGAGGCTCAGAGAGCTTAAGTCACACATCCAAGGTCTAGAGCTTTTATTAATGATAATGCTACTCCCTATACTGAACTGTTCTCTGTGCTCAGTTCTTCCAAGTTAGCTAGCTTGCATGCCAGTAACATTGTTATATGAAAGAATAGCAAATAGGACCATGGTAGCACTCAGTCTGTGCCAGGTTAGTTTAATTGCTTTACATATTTTAGTTATTCATTCACACAATCACCTGTGAGATGACTCTGATATTGTTCATGCTTTGCAGATTACTTGTTCAAATAACACATAATAAATACACGTAGAGCCAGGATTTGAACCCTGTCTGAACTCAGATATTTATTATCCAGTTTTCATTTTCTACAATTGGGGGTGTGATCTGGGGAAACCAGATAGGAGTGAGCAAATTAGAGAATTAGGGTAACTGTGACTGGAATCTCCACTGGTTGCTGGCAGTGACAGGGAGTTCTATAAATGGTAAAGACTAGAGAAGGTCCCACTGAGAGATGCAGTCATAATAAATGTCCTCATCCTGTGCTTGCACTCAAAGGAAAACAGAGGAAAGAGAAGGTCCCAGCAAGACTTGACTTACAGACAGTTGCAATACAGCACAATAAATGTTTGAATTCAAGCCATAAGGAATTGTTAGGAAGATTAGAGAGAAGGAGAGCTATAAAAAAGGGTCATATTGAAGTACAACGAAAGAGAGGAGACTTGTTTCAGTGAACAGAGCAGAGATGAAGGCCTTTTTACTAAGAATCAAAGGCTGAGTATTTAAAACTAGGTCAAGTCCAGAAAAATGCAGAGGATGATCTACACAGAGGGAAGAACATAACCATGATCAGAGAGATGAGAAGCAGCCCAGCTTCTTCCAAGAACTGCCAGGAAGGCAGTGTGGCCTGAGAGCTGATTGCATGAATGAAATGCAGGAAAGGATGAATGATAGGCAAGGGCTAGATTAAAATTTTAAAATAAACTCACTGCCAAAGGTAGAACTGACCCTCAGTGACAGAAGGCCAATAAAGGGAAAATGAGTTTTCAAATAAGATTTTTGGCTGCATTTTGGTGGAGCTTGAAATTAGAAGCAGGGAAGACCTTTTAGAAATGACAACAATATTCTAGGCAAGATGTACTTTCAAATTGAAATAAAGCAATAAGAATAAATAGGAAGAGATTAACTTGAAGTAAATTCTATGATTTAGATTCAATATTAATTAATTGAACAAACATTTAATTACACACACACACACACACACACACACACACACATATGTGTGGCAGGAAAATGCTGTCATCAAGATGCTATGCTTAAGAACCCAGTAACAAAAACAGTAATGAACAGGAGAGTGTTCCAGTGTTCTCTTCTTCAAATACATCCATGTAAGTTTGATTTTGTCTGTTCTGCTAGCAATTCCTCCAACTAATCTCTGATACTTGGTAATACTAATGCAACATGAGTTATGTTACTATGTTTTTCATAATCGGAGCCCTCCCCTAAAGAGTTTGCAAACCCCCTACCCCCAATTTACTAAGGTTTTGAAAAGAATTTGTCAAATTATCTCATTGATTAAACTCATTGATTAGATTCTCTGCATTAGATGCTGTTGAATATTGAACCAACCTCTTTAATGAAAGTTCCATGAGTTGGGTAGAGAAGTAACTAGGTGATTCATAATTGATGCAAATTTTACCCATAAAGGGACATTGAGATTGTCTGAAGATTGTTTTTGTTTATTGCAATGGGGAGAAGGATGCTAGTGATGTACACAACAGCATGCTACTAAATATCCTATTTTAGCACACAACAGTTCTTACAACAAAGAATTATCTGGCAAAAAAAGAAAAGAAAAAGTTTCAATAGTGTGGAGGTTGAGAAACTCTGAGGTATCCTCAACTTGTGGGATCACAGGATGATGATTCTGCTAGCTATCATTTAAGTAGAGGTGCAGCAAATGCTCCTTTAGATTGAAACTCACACACATGACTTTTGAGCAGCATGCTCCTTAACAGCAGCAATGCAAAATAGCCTATTTACATTATTCTGCTTCAAAAGAAGCTTTCTATTTCTCCTACTATAATTCAACCACAGAGAATCATTCATCTCCCTGAACACCATACATCAGGCCAGAGCAGTGGTGGATATACTTGGTTTGAGAGCTGGAAGGGGCCCAGTGATGCATGACATTTCTTGTAAAGACATTTCTTGTCTGGAAAATTCAAAGTGTCCCTTTATTACTCAAAAACCAGAGAAAATCATCAAGGAAAACTTAGCATGTGAGTCTCCAATTATTTCCCTCTTATTAACTTGGCAATGATCAGTCTCTGCTAACTATAGGCTACACTATCATTACCATATTTTTATCAAATATTCCATCAACAAGTCATTAGAATGAAAACTTTAGCTGGTATAATAAAAAATAGACTGGTAAATTCACCATATTACAGTTTGATAATTATTAAAAGACCACGGATCAATTCATTAATTCACATAATCAAACATACATGGATATCATTAATTATTTATTATTCCTTGATTCTTCAATATTCAATTTTCACCGTGCAAGTCAAAATACTTATGTGAACATTTCAATGCTATATCAAAAACACACTTTAATTCTTCATCTCTACCATATTTTCCTTAAAGAGGAAAAAGAATACCTTTTTTTTTTTCTTTATTTTTAGGGCTGGGGATTGAACTCAGGGGCATTCAAATACTGAGTCACATCCCCTGCCGTATTTTGTATTTTATTTACAGAATGGGTCTCACTGAGGTGCTTAGAGTCTTGCTTTTGTTGAGGCTGGCTTTGAACTTGCAATCCTCCTGCCTCAGCTTCCCCAGCTGCTGGGA